TGTCTGTTTGTCTGTTTGTTTGTATGTCTGTCCGCACGATAACTCGAGAGAGAATTGAGATAGCGACCTGGGATTTTCAGGGTCGTTTTGTATCATAAAAAGACAGATCGAGTTCGAAGATGAGCATTCTAGCTCAAAAATTGGCTTTTTAAAAAATCAAAAACTACAGGTCGGAATATGTATTTTTATCAAATATTTTTTTTATGGGTTCCTAAGGGGTAACTCGTCAAAGTAGAGCCCTGTGGGCGAAAATTTCGTCCGTTTGGCTCTATTTTGTACCATTTAGGTGCTAGGGGGCAATATTCTTGGCAAAAATGAGGTGAAAATGATCAAATGGTCGATTAAATCGTTCAAAAGACTTCATTTCGAAAATTGTATATACACTCCTATTACCCCGTCTTGGGTGTCAGCGCCGCAGGCCTAGCTATATGTGCGCCAGGCGCGTCACAGCGTAACAGTGTTTCGTGAGATATCGCGAAGCCTGTTACGCGAGACGTGGTCTGGCGTACATATAGCTAGGTACTTGCGTAAGACAAATTTTGGTCGCCCCACTTGATTTAGTCATGTCGACCTGATCATATTTTGTTGGCTGAGCGATTAGCGAAGCCTATTACTCCAGTGATGATCAAAAAGTTTCGCGTCTGTCTGTCTGTCTGTTTGTGTGTGTGTTTGTCTGTCATCACGATAACTCGAGAACGAATTGAGCAAGCGACCTGGGATTTTCAGGGTCGTTGGGTGTCAGCGCCGCAGGCCTAGGTAGATGTATGCCAGGCGCGTCGCAGCGCAACAGTGTTTCGTGAGATATCGCGAAGCCTGTTACGCGAGACGTGGTCTGGCGTACATCTACCTAGTGATACAATACTCTTAATGACATTGAGAATTCATAGTATAAGTCATATACGAAAAGGTTTGTGTCAGGTTCTACGTACGTCGGACAATTGCAGGGTTTCTGAGCGGCGACTCCACACAAGGCCCATGCCTTGGATGCAACGTTTACCGCTTGATTGAGGTTGTACGAGACGTTAAATCCCCAGTGTATTGCATGTGGGAAGAGGTATACAATCTGTCCTGGTCGCTGGACGATCTGAAACAGTGAAAGAGGCACCTTGGTGAGATTCAATTCATCTATTCCTCTGACATGAGGGCTCAGGAGGAAAACTGACCGTGTGCACTGGTATGCCAGCCTTCAATATGGTCAATAAAACAGTGTTTGTGATTCAGTAGGTTTCTGCAGCTCCCCTCTGCCTGGTTGTAGCCCAACGCTGCGAGAACGTTTCAGAAGGCATTGTGATCCGTGGGTGGGATGACAAACCTACAGGAAAGAGGAAAATCGTTAAAAAAATGACTAAAATTGTCAGAGTGGAGTCAGATGATCGGGAATGTGAACTCACCAGACTTTATTTCCTCCAGCGACTTGCTGGTTCACGGCTTCAAATGCCAGGTCATCCCTGTGACACGCGAACGGGGCCCCTTCGCTGCCTCCGTAGATCGTGGGCGTCACGATTCCAGCGGGTTTCTTTTGTCCGAGATGGTGGATTTGAGACCGCATGTTTTTCATGTCACAATTTGGAGCAGAATCCATGCCCGTGGCACTTGTCGGCGTTATATTAGGGAGATACCAGAGTTGATGTTTTATCGAGCGCATCTCCATAATCCTGAACAGTGTGTCCAGGCAGGTGTCCACACCGAGGTCCAGCACATCCTGCCTGTGTCAAAAAAGGGAAAAGACAGGAAACGATCAAGTCAAACAATGCCACGGAAAACGCCGGATTAAAAAAATAAAAATGTCTTCGTTGACACTTACAGGGAGGTTTAGGTCGGTTTCGAGGAACCCTGCCAAAAACTGTTCTCTCTTCTCTTCGAGCAGAACTCTCACGCTCTCCGATTGATCGGCGTCGGACGGGTGATGTGTAGTGACCTTGTAGGACCGCAGCTTCCTGGACTTCGCATCCACTTGTATGCGATGCGCTCTGCTCATCTCACTCTGACAGTTGTCGCGGCGCAGGTCCACTTTGATTGTCTCCGTGAAAGTGGTCCGTGAGTGTAGGTTGTCCATTTCCATCTCCGCCTAGGGCCAGCAAAAAACCAGATAAAAAACGTGTGAAATTGCAATGTAGGCTTTCCGTAGACACTACAACCCTGTGCACTTTATTGTTGCACTATTTTATGCATAACCATGTACAGTGTGTGCATAATGATGCACATTTTGTACACAATAATGGACACAAATGTGTGCATACTCGTTGATGTAAACAATCCTGCAATTTTATGCACAATAAAGTGCACAAGATTGTAGTGTGTACCCAGACTGTAGCATTCTTACCACGAAAGCTCCCTGTTCGACCACGTCTCGTTGGTACATGATCTCCAAAAGGGATTCGACATCGGTGTACAATTCCTGGCAGATCTTAAAGTGACTGATGCCATACCGTTTCTCGACGAAAACAGGCGAAGGAGCAGCCATACCTAGGACAAAAACACAACAGGAATTTAACCCCACTTTCACGCGTGCCTCTACTAGGGAGACAAAGGTGTGTGCGGGAGGGCGCCACAACACCTGTTTCGAACTTACCGTTTCCAGTAGTATAGTATAGCGGGTTTTAAGTCAAGCTATATGAGATTGCACCATACTGTGCTGTACAGCAAACTTTACTGTAATTGTAGTGTACTGTACTGTACTAGACTAAACTGGCCTACACCTTACAAAAGAGAAGAATAGGCAATCCCGCAAAACACTGCTGCATATTCAGTTATACCCGGTACATACTGCATATGAAAACAAAATCATGCCACCAACAACGCCACACAGATGACCATGGATAAGGACACATCTCGCTACACGCGCGGAATAGGACCGGACGTTACTAGCCAACACGCTAGATATAGATTCGCGCTTATGGCAATAGCAAATCTAGACTGCACGCACGGACCAGGATGTTAAAATCAGATAGCCAGAGCCTGTCCATGTTACAACACATTCAACTCAGTCTGCACCTAACGGTCTAGTAGTGTACATCCATCATCTCCTCGACGAAAGCCCAGACAGAATCGCTCCGCGGGCTAACTCCAATTAACCTCCAAGCGAAAGTTATAATAACATTAAAAAAACAAGCAGGCCCGGCCCCTGCCGAACGGAGTTGCCGGTGGAGCGAAGCGGAGCTGGCCTGCCGGCGGCGATGGTCGGGCCTTCGGCCCGACCATTTAAGTCTCGCGATTTACTGAAGTGCATCATCAAATAAATAATGTGACCGGTAAATCACTTTGCATATTTGAGTAAAAATAAAGCGTCCTGTG